TGTGGCCGGCATCCCAGCTTACCGTGGAGCAGAGTCTGGGTTCAAAAAGGGTTTAGGGTCTAAACTCCTGAAAAGGGGTTATAAAGGGGATTATACAGGGGATATATTGGGATAAGGGAAAAGAAAATGGAAACTACTATTTGGTGTTTATGGTTTAGGGTTTAGGGTCTAAACTCCTGAAAAGGGGTTAAAAAGGGCGGGATTATATAGGGAAGTAGTATTGGGGTTACTAAGGGGGATACTAGGAGTTTAGACTTTAGCTCATATGGCAGCTCTCAAAGAGCTTCCTTGGCACTTGGTGGAAAAGGGGTTAAAAAGGGCGGGATTATATAGGGAAGTAGTATTGGGGTTACCAAGGGGGATACTAGGAGTTTAGACTTTAGCTCATATGGCAGCTCTCAAAGAGCTTCCTTGGCACTTGGTGGATTTGTGGTAGCGGCTGCCAGAGGATTTGCACTTTGAAAGTTGGTCCATGACGGTGGCCGTGCACAGTCCCATCCCGGACGATGTGAAGCGAAAGGTACGCCATTGGGAGTTTGTTACTTTGGGAGGGAGCAAACATCAATATATGGCGGCCTTCAGACTCAAAGCAACGGCTACTTCTTCCCCGACCTGAAGGAGGATGGAAAAAGGTTCGACATCACGTCGGGAGGGGAGTCATTTTCTCTCGTTGGGATTCCCGAAGTTCCGAGCGGCAGAGCAGAGGGACTGAGCCTGGGCAGTGCCCCTGCCTGAACTCCTGCGGGACAGCTTGCCCTGAGTTGGCTAAACCATCCGGACCTTATTGTGAAGAGTTGGTGAGTGCAGCCCGCGGCCGCGGCCGCAGGTTGAGCATCCTGCGGAGAAGAAGCCATGCCGCTGCTGTAAAGGGCTAGAATCCCCGAAATTTAGGTCTGAGCCCTAACCTGAACGCCTAAACCTGCATGCCCCAGCCCTAAAACACCCACGCCCCATGCCCTTGACGTCCAGCACAAACCTCGGCATCCTAATGCCTTTGAGGCCCACGTGCTCTACGACTACTTCACACAGCGCTTTGCCCAGGCGGCACAGCACCTTACTGGTGGTAAAGTTGGGAATGAAGGAATGGAAAAGAAAATGGAAGCTACCATAGTGCAGGGTTTAGGGTTTGTGTCGCTGTGGCAGAGAGAGAGGTTAGAGTTTGTGATTGAGGGTTTAGGTGGCAAGCAGGGCAGACGGAATAGAATATAGTGTTCACCATTGTAAACTATCTTCCGTACTAAGACTTACATTCCCAACTATCTACTATGGTGCATCGGGGTGGGGGCTAATTTTTGGGGCGGCGAATACTGCGATCACTAGAGAGGGACATGAACTTGGGAATCTTGTTTTAGCGGCTCGTTTTGTGTTTGTGGGTAGTACAGTTGCAGGTGTTGTCCTTGCCACATTATTTTGGACAGTAACCATGACTTTTTTGGAGACCGTATTAATGATGTTATTTTGGACGGAACCACCGCAGGAGAATAACAATCACACCCAAATTCACAGTGACTACAAGCATGTCTTCCCAGTTTGAGCAAACGACTGTTGATGGATGCAATCCACGTGCATGCTTGAAGCCGACAGAAGTGGGGCACTTTGTTCATGACGCTTAGGTCTGAGTCAAGGGTCTGAGGCAGCCAGCTCACATTGTTTCTCAGCGGTTGGGTAGGTACATTTGACAGTTTTGGGCTCCCTATCATCCTACTACAGTAGTTTTCCCAAATTAGGGCGACACCAATATAGACCCTAAAATGCTATAACCCTTGTAAGAGGCACCCCTATGATTTTCCCTGATTTTGGGAAACCCCTTTATCTTAGGAACTGGAATTTGCAGGTGACGAACCCCGCCATCGACCCGTACCGAGAGTCGCTTGTGATGTCCACAGACGTCTTCCTCGGTCGACAAGGCCATGATGTGTCACAGCTCATCAGATATGGCCGGTTTCACATTTTTTGATCCCATTTTTTAAGTGCATACGAGTAAGGCAGTTTTTCCGGGCATATCGCCGCAGTTTTTGACACGTAGCCATGCTGCTGTGTTAGACTTGCTTCTTGTAGGTAGGGAATGAAGAGGAAATTAATCGGGATTATTATGTGAGTCGGGTCCAGTCGTTCATTCCCCATTTCTAGTCCCTCACCTTATACTGCTATCGCGATTCATTCCTCCATCCCTGTCGCACCTGATACTGTACGAACAGGCAATCTCATGGCGGAGAGCCCAACCTATTTCCAGAACAAGGCCAACAATCGCTTGGTGAAGGCCCAGCGCTTGTGGTTTGGGTTGGTTTACAGTAGAGTTTCCGTGTTTTGGCTTCATGGTCCCTCGGGTTAGTTAGTCTGCTGCTCCTACAAGACCAGCCTGAGATGCGCGCAAGGCCGGCTGGGTAGAAGCACTCGGGCTCGTTCAGTATCGACTCGATCCCTGTCTCTGCCAACGATGACAGAAGCTTCTAAAAGAGCACAATGCAAGAGCAATTGGACAGCAAACAGTGGCTCCTCCACACCTTTCCAGAACTAATGTCTCCTAAGATGGGTCTCTCGCTGTTTGGACGTTTGGCTTCCTTGGAATGATGAGGTGGATTCGCCCTTCCTCAACGAGAGGCAGCTGTATGCCGAGCACTCAACATCAGTGCATGCTTCGGCAAAGTGTAGCTGGGGTGTCGCAGAGGGGGGCATTCCTAAACGGTTCCACAGCAGCCTAACAATCATGTAACCTTCCTGTGCGCATCATTCGGGTTAAAGGGCCCCCTAAAAAGTCTTTTGGTTCTGAAAGGACCGTTCTAGGGTTCTGATTTGGGGCTCCAGGCTGCGGGTTTGAAACGGGAGTCGTGTCTGGGATTTACAGGGCATGGGCCAGCTAGTAGTGGGAAGTCTCTTCCAGACCCTAGAGCCCCCTCAACTAAGTCGAAACGGTTCACCTCCTTTTCCTGATCGTACCCCCCACTCTTAATGATAGAACACACAAACTAGTTCATTTTCATATGTCAGGGGGAACATCGGGAGGTTCAAGTGGTTCATCATTGAAGAGAGGATTCAGCCATAATTGATGCGCTTCGTGAACACATGCAAGCCCTAATAACTCTGAGAAGCTGCAACTCAGGTTCCTTCAGGATCCTTCTCAATGATCGCAAGAGCTACTGTCAATATTGAGGTTGCCAAGGGACCAGTAAGTGTGGCAATAGTAGGTCAGTATAATTCCTGCTGTTTTTTCTAAGGCCCATTAATCATACGGGAAGTATTCAATGTGGCTCACATTGCCCTGCTTCTTCACGGTTTCGGGTTTGGGGTGTACGTAGGGCAGGAAGCAAGCGCACCCTCAACCTCTCGGCGTTTTTTTGCTGGCTGAAAAGGCACTTGTACATCATTAGGCATCATACTTCCACGAAAATCGGGAAAAATACTGTAGCGGGTGTAGGAAGCCGCGGCAGGATCCCTGAAAGTCCGCAGCCTCTAATTTCAAAACCTGAGGCCTGAACCCTTCCAACCGCAAACCCTGAACCCCAGCCTTACAAATCCTAAGGCGCCCTTAAGCCCAGAGCGCTAAACCTCAGGCTCTTCAACCTTTGTCCGCCAACCTGAGGCCCGTCCCCCAACCACACCTCAGGCGATCAAAAACAGTGGGCTGCTAACTGTGCAGCTGAGCACCCGCTACGACTTTGAGCCGTGGATGTATGGTGTGGGTGCAATATTCGTTTTTTTGAGGCTTACGGGGTACATGGAATGCATGTGCAACTTGGATGCCCACGGGGTGAACACTTGGGCTTGTTGTGGGCTTGAAGATTGAAAGCATGAACGACTCCCAATCCCAATAGTGTTATTGGTGCAGGGTTGTAACAGAGCAATGTGAGGAACATGAGGTAACAGTAGCAGAAGCTATTCCGCCTCCTCGTAACAACCCGTCAGACAGTTAATCCCGCCTTGTGTCCCAACCGTGGATGATTGGATTCTTATATGCTTGGATTTGTATGAGGCAAAGGAGAACCCACCCCAGCCTCAATACAGTAGGGTTTGAAAAGCATTGTCCCCTCTTGGATCCCTACTATGATACGACCTCTAGTAACGGTACTTATAAGTGGGCCACAAATTTGGATACCCCCCCATATGAGCTATAGTGTAAATTCCTAGTATGCCCCGCCTTCCTGCAGCATCTGCTGCTGCCGCTTCCCTCTGGCTGCTCATCCTCGGCGCCCAAGTTTCAACTTTACGCTTTTTCAAAGCTTTCCCTGGCTGCCCCTCCCCATTGCAGCCCGACCTTCCCGCAGCATCTGCTGCTGCCGCTTCCCTACGGCTGCTCATAGTCGCAAGCTTCCTGTGCTGTCCAAGCCGCTTTTTTTCTCAGCCCATTGCAGCCCGGCCTTCCCGCAGCATCTGCTGCTGCCGCTTCCCTACGGCTGATCATAGTCGCAAGATTCCTGTGCTGCCCGAAGCCGCAGTGTTGTTTTTCTGAGGCTTTTCGAAGCTCTCCTACTACCCCTTTCCCACTGCAACCCGGCCTTCCAGCAGCATCTGCTGCTGCCGCTTCCCTATGGCTGCTCGCCCTCGCAAACTTCCCGTGATGTAAATCGCTTCTGCTCAAAGTCCAGCCTCTGGGAGCGAGCCCACCTACCTGAATTTCTTCACTCAGGCCGACCTTTCGAGCCTCGAACTTTCACCGGGCTTTGCTGTTCCTCGAACCGGCCCTACCGGCCCTCGGCCCTGCCTGGGCTTCCGAAAGGGTCAGAACCCCCTCTGGAACCCTCTGCGGAAGAAGCTGATGACGTTTTCGGAAGCCTCCTGAGATGCAGTGGGGGAAGAGTCTGGGAGGCCGCAGCCGTAAGCTGCAGGTCAATTCCTTCCTTCCTTCCTAGTATCCTCCTCAATAGCCCCTACACTACTCCCCTATATGTTCCTCTACATGGCCACCATTCAGGAGTTTGGACTATAGCTAATATGATGAGGTAGGAGGTTGACAGCCCTGAGCTCAGACCCTTGATGTTTTTGTCAGACTCGAAACTTCCAGGCTCGAAGCCCCTAAGAACATGTAGTTAGGGTCTGGGGAGTAGGGATTACGGTTTAGGGGTTCAGGGTTTAGGGTATGAGGTTTGGGGTTTGGGATAAGGCAAAGCAGTTATTGGAAGATTGCCCTACAGTTCCAGGTTTCGATGCCACAGTAGGCAACATTTCAGATAGCTGTCGCCATGTTCTAACCACCCAAAACCCTCTTACTTCTTGAATGACCAATACTGTATGTTCAATGATGTTATGGGGTGAGTCTTTATCATTAAGAGGGTGGGGGCTCGTTTTTTAGCCCAGCCCTGTTTTTTCATTCAGTCCACGAAGCCTCTAATCTCCCTGGCTGTCAAACTAGTTGCAAGAAAGCCCCATATGCTGGTCCCAATGGAGTTTTTGGACTAACTCAACATACTTTGTTTTTTTTACACACTTACCCCTCACTGCATAGACGCAAAACCCTAGGGCCAAAGCTCAAACCCAAAACTCGAAGCGTCAGCGCTCTCCGAGGAGCGAGGGCCGGGAGCCTTGGAGAAGGCTTTGTCTGACTTGTGTTACGAGGCGGGTTTAGGGTTTGGGGTTTAGGGTTTAGGGTTTGGGGTTTAGGGTTTAGGCTGGGTGCAGAGGGAAGAGGGAGGAGGGTTTAGGGGTTCGGGTTTGACAGCGTAACGTGCAGGCAATGTAGGGTTCAGGGTGGAGGTTTAGGGTCTAGAGGGCTTAGGGTTTGAGGTGCAGGGGTTCAGGGTGTGGGAAAGCGTAGCCTTCAGAGGTTGGAGTTGTGCAAGCTTGCTGAACTTTCATAATCACCAGGCTTCCATCATCCGCATCCTGAGTCTGGGAGAGGCTTGTGGAGGACGATTGTTGTAGCTCTGCGCTGCCTGACCATTACACTCCTACATGACGACCTCTGTTTACTACCGACCCGAACCCCAAACCTTGATCCCCCTCAGGCTCTTTCAGTAGCACTGCAGTTGCTACAGCTACAGCTGTTTGCATGCCTTTTCTTACCAGTAGCGGTTAAGGCGCAGACCAGGTTTGACATGGTCTGGATTTGGGACGAGACAGTCCAGAGATAAGGCTTAGGAGCTTGGCCCCCCCAAGTTCGAAGCGTCCTTCAACGATTGGAAGAACACAGAGAAGATGATTCAAGGAAATTTGCTCGGTTTTCTTCAGGTTTTGGAGGGAGTGTTTTGGCAGCGGAACGGCGGAGCCTGACAAGAAACAAGTGGGTTGTAAATGACCCTCTTCAAAACTAACATGGAACCCTAAAGCCTAGAGTCAACAAGTCTTTTCAAAAAAGGGGCCACATATTTTGGATTGGGGTCTTAGCATTGCATTGAAAACTGTTACGCCCCCCCGACGAAAATGGAAGCCATCGAAAAATCTTCTCAAAACAGGGGACACTCTCAGCTGCCATGTTGGTTCGGGGGAGGGTACGCCCCACAGCCCTTGAAGTCAAGGAGCTTATTCCGGCGCTGCAACCCTAAACAAGCAGAAGCCCGTAGAAGTCCCTAAACCCTCAACCCTCATAGAAGGATCCAGATTTAGAGAACCCTAATAATGCCCGGTTCCCGTAATTAGGTCCCCATAATTTTAGGATCCTTGTTTTGAGGACCCCTTCAAAAGCAACTCCTGATATGCGGAAACCACCTACTTGGAAATCCTGAGAGGCTTCCAATGCCATTCGTAACGGGGCAGAGCTGATAATCCTTTCCGATGTGCCTCGGAATTCGGAAGCTGGGCTACCCTAGAATTAGACTTCTTTCGGGGGCGTGGACCCCATACAACTATTTCTTTGTAATCCTCATATATAGAACTCACCACTTTCCTTTAAAACAGGTAAACAAGTAGAAGGCTATGTAGAAGGCGTCTGCTAACCTTGGAAACGGATTTTCTGGGGTGACCAGCGTGTGATGTACATTTTACCCTAGAGTTTGGGGTTCAAGGTTCTGGGGGGTTAAGGGTATAGGCAGGGGCTCAGGGATCTAATGCCAGTCAAGGATCTGGCTCCTGGCTGCCACTAAACCCTAAACCGCCCAAAACCTGTAAGCGCGCAAAAAGGCACTGTAATAATGTAAAGACTACAGTTTGCATTGTTGCCTAACAGCCCTGCTATCCTTGAAGTAGGATTGCCATGTATCTGAAAGCCTTATTCTAGATTTTTGAACCTTACTCGATCAAAGACTTGTAGCGGAAGCTGCTAGCTTCCTGCTTCAAGAGGAGGACCTAATGCAATTGCATAGGGTCTCGCGTTTGGGGTTCAGGGTCTAGGAGTTCGTTTTCAAGGTTTAGGGCTTAGGGGTTTTTCATCATGTTGATCTCCCTACAGCAAGCTAGGACTTCATGTCTTTTGATGTCAACGATCCGGACATTGAGCTGGAGAAGTCGGTCCTCGCCATCCCACCACTTCTAGCCGCTTGGTTGCTGTTAAAGAATTTAAGATTACAGCAGATTACGATTTAATTCAGAAACCCTATTACTTGTATTTGTTACCCATGTTATGGTAACATAAACCCTAAACCTCATATACCCAAATCAATTATTATGGTAAGTTAGTTCAAGTTCCTTAACACCAACCCAGGCAGTAGGTGCGGTGCACCACTACCTCATCCAGCAGGGCTTGCGCACCCAGGCTTCTGTAGCTTGCCTGTGGTTAGCAAGGAGTGGCTGATGGGATCCCTCTACGTAATAGGGTTTGGGGTTTCAGTTGCTAGTGGAAAATAGATCGGAAACTGCTATTTAAGGATTATGTAGGGGTTAGGGTTTAGGGTTCCAAAATAATCCCCAACATTGGAGTAGTTCTCGTGTTCTTTGCATGCCCTTAGCTAGATGTAAGCCCTTAATGGTAGTTTCCATTTTTCTTTTGATTCCTTACTTCCCTGCTAACTAGAGCCCAGGTAGTGGTCTCCACTGGACAGTGCTGGAGTACACACCATTTTGCCTGCCTTATCGGCTATGGAGCCTCGGCCGTGTGCCCGTACCTGGCGCTGGCCCACATCCGCAACTTTCTGGTGCTGATGGGAGAGTGAGTGGGGGAATGGATCCTTATGGCAATCCTGATTTAATCCCCATATACAACCCGAAACCCTAAACCGTTTGTAACCCCCAAATGTACCCCTGTAATGGTACCTATATTCACTCCGCCACTCCCCCTTGAACCCTAAACCCCCAACCCTAAACCCTAACCTCTTAAGCACCAGTAAGGCAAGTGGCACTCCACGGACAAGGGGGCGGCAAAATCGGACGGGCAGACTGTAGAGGAGGTGCAGGCGAATTACAAGCGGGCCATCAACGCCGGGCTCAAGAAGATTCCTGGTTTGGGGAGTGGGGTTAAGGTTTTAGAGTTTAGGGTTTAGGGTTTAGGATTTAGGATTTTAGGATTTGGGTTTAGGATTTAGGATTTAGGGTTTAGGATTTAGGGTTTAGGATTTAGGATTTAGGGCTTAGGGTTTGGGATTTAGGGTTTAGGGTTTAGGAAAACAGGTTTAGGATTTAGGGTTAAGGTTAAGGGTTGGGCTCAAGAAGACCCTGCGGTGCTGTTAAGGAATTTAAATTGAGTTGCCATTGTGCAGAAACTATGTTTGTTGATATCTGCCCATATTACGGTGACTATATTACGGCCCGTAAATCCTTGTGTAACCTCCACATAACACCAGTTTCCATTTCGTCGTCCATGTTCTTCCTCCTTTCTCCACTATGGTAACCTGACCCTGTACCATAAACCTTGAGTTCTCATTTCGTTTCAGTTCCTTAACACCAACCCAATGTTAGTAGTATGGACCCCTAACATGGCCCCTTAGCCCTTTTAGGGGGATTCTAGGGATCCTCAAGGGTGCATATAGGGTATATAGTAGGTACAAAATGATCCCAGGGTTAAGGCCCCATACTAAGGGCCCATGGTTTCAACCTTTCAACCCAGGATCATGTCCAAGATGGGCATCTCAGTTCTGGAGTCCTACCGCGGAGCCCAGATCTTCCAGTGCATCGGCTTAGACCAGAAGGTCGGCGTCTGGAAAAAAAAGGTCTGGTGGTCCATTATTCTTGCTGGGGGTTAGTAGGGAATGAGCAATGCGCTATATAGGGGTTATATAGGGATTATATCCCCTAACCACTTATATCCCCTTATAACCGCCCGTAAGCTTTTAGGGTATATCTTCTGGGAATTCTGAGATTTAGAGAACGTCTTGTGGAGCCAGACGTTGCATGCCCTCTTGGGGCCCCCTTAGCTTTTGGAATGTACTAGGTGATCGACCGTGCCTTCACTGGTACACCATGCACCGCACCCGCGCTGTCATTCACGGACATAGCAAACGAGTCCATGATGTTCCACAGGCGTGCTTTTCCAGAGCTGGAGGAAACGGCAGCCGCAGAAAAGCTTGAATTTGCTGGCTGGTACAAGTACATCAAGAACAAGGGCGAGTTCCACATGAACAACCCTGACATGTCCCGCGCTCTGCACCGGGCTGTTCGGGAAAAGGAGCCTTTAGCCTACGAGGAGTACCGGCGTCAGATCATGGACGGGCGGCCGGTCACGGCCATCCGAGACCTGTTGGATTTTGCTTCAGATCGACAGCCTGTGCCTCTGCAGGAGGTGGAGGACGCTACATCCATCTGCAGCCGCTTTGTTACTGGGGGCATGTCGTTGGGTGCGCTGTCTCGCGAGGCACATGAGGTCATTGCCCTGGGCATGAACCGTGTGGGCGGTATGAGCAACAGTGGTGAAGGAGGAGAAGACCCCCTGCGGTTTCATCCCATTGAGGACCCCAAGCGTTTTGCAGCGCCACTTATCATGCCATGCAAATGTTGTCCTTATATTGATTACAGCAGGATGTGGATGATGAGGGCAACTCTGCTACATTCTCGCATCTTAAGGGTCAGTGCCTCAACCATTGAAGTGCCAATATCTTCAACTTCCCGCTGTCTCATCACATGAGGCCTGAGAAATGGTGACTCTGCAACCTCGGCAACGAAGCAGGCACTTGTCACACCGCACGCGCTGAGGGTATCCATGTTTTAGAGGTCATCACATGGAATAGAAGTGCGAGTGAAGAGTATAGAACACAAGCATCAGCTAAATCAGGCGCAAGTTCATGGCAAAAGGCACCACCTACTTTGGGGAACGGACGGCCCTAAGTTCTACACGGCCCTCGGCCTAAACCTAAACCTTCAACCTGCAACCCCTATACCCTATACCCTCAGGGCACATGTCTTGATTTGCCTACAAAATCTCCGTCCAGAAGAAATCTACAATCTAAGCTCAGAAGAAATCTACAGCCTACACATAAGGATTCTCTTTATCTATTCCAAATTTATAAGATCCACGTGACAGGAACAGGGGCCCTGGTTTTCCATAAAGCACCAGGTGGCCTCTGGCCGCTTCGGGGTCACCGCAGCCTACCTTCGGAGTGGCAACCTCAGAGTTGTCAAACGGTTTAGGGTTTAGGCAGAGTGTGCGAGCAGCTTAGGGCCTAGGGTTTAGGGTTTTGCCTTGTTAGGAGGCTAGGGTGTCCTCTAGGGGTGTGGGGGGGTTCTTACAGAGGTGGGGAGCCAAAAAGGGGCAGGTGTCATGGATTATTCTGAATTACTCCGGAAGACTTACCCGCACACCACATAGAGGCTCGAGGGAATTTTGGAGAAACCACCGCGAAACCATGCCTAATGCTGAGAGCTGCTGCGCCTGTGCTTTTTCTGCCATCACATCTTGATAGGATTCATCCTCAAACTTCTAGACCATGAGCTTCGGGGTGGCTGCTGTACCAGGGTGGCCCGGATGCTGTCAGAGGGGGCGTCTTTCGCCACTGCACCCAAGATTGCACACCTTTCTTGGGAGGGCCTTTGGAAACCCTGGAAGCCCCTCCCTTTGGCTGTGAGGGCCCCTTCAGGCCGTTACACCCTTAACCTAATCGTAGTTTCCATTTTCTTTTCCATTATCCCAAGATAGCCCCAATATAAGCCTAATATAACCCCAATGGGTACCCCATAATATGTCATCATATACCTTAATATATCATAATATATAGCTTCCTTCTAACATTTCAAAGGCCAGGACATGTTACTGTTGGCGCGGGGTGGCCAAGAATAGAGTACCAGAATGTGTCCCAAGGTGGGAAACAGCTGGAGATCAAGCAGCTTGGATGCAATAGACGTAATTAATAGCCACCCGAATAGTAGATACACCGGGATATATATATATATAGAAGAATGGAAAATGAAAATCACTCCTATGTAGCGCTTCGGTCTTAGGCCTGAAGTGTGCAAGATGCATAGAAATATTGAGCCCTCCTAGACTTCATTGCTCAGGGGGTCGATCATGAGGACCTCGAAACTTCAAGCACCGCAAGTTATGCACAAAGTAGGACATATGCCTACCCAACATGTGCCATAATCATTCCTCAGGCTCCCGCTTGGGATGCTGATACCCCACATGGAAGCCAATCATCCCTTCCCCTTGTGACAGCCCCTCAGCTGGGATCCCTGATGTGATTTAAGGTATATCCCTTGATTTGGGGGGAATTGGGGGCCCTGGCTGATTAAGCCTTAAGCTCCATACCCTGAACCCTACACCCCCAACCTCAAACCCTCCCAAAAAAGCCAAACTCTCAACCAGTGGAGATGATGGTAGTTTGCCCAGATAGGGGGACCGCAATATAGACCCTAAGACATTAAGATCTTTATTATGGTGCAGCCACAAAGGTACTCCTTTTTTTGGGAAGCTCCCAGATAAGGTCCGACAAAGCAAAACCTCAACCCCCAACCTTATACCCCAAACCCTAAACCCCCAACCCTAAACCCCCAACCTGAAACCCTAAGCCCTAAACCTTAAACCCCCGACCTCAAACCCTAGAACCCCCAACCAGAAGTTTTTTTTGGGCGAGCCGAGGATCGCCCAAGGCGCCAAGCCGGGCGAGGGTGGACAGCTCCCAGGGCCCAAGGCTTGGGCCGTTCAATCCATTGTATGAGCTACGGACTAAATTTGGGGGTTCCCCAAAATTCGGGGTACCAGTTTGGGGACCCATAATAAGGACTATAGTATGTTGGGGTCTATGTTGGGGTCCCCTTATTTTGGGAAACTACCATTTAAGTTGGGGGGCACCTATAGAGGCCTATATAGGGTTTTGGGGTTGGGGTTGGACCTATTGAGGGATATACGCCAAATCTGGTCCAGGGCTCACATATTTGGGCTCCTTGTATAGGGTTTAAGGTTTATGGGTTCAGGGTGTAGGGTTTATGGGTAGTAGGGAAACATTAAGGGTTGCCTCTTTCGGCAGTCCTGGTTCCGAAGGATGTGAGTTCTGGAAACCTTCCCCTTTGGGGTTAGGCATCAGTGCTTGTGAGAGGCGGTTTGCTGTTTGCAGTTGACGAGCCTAAAGGGTTGTGGTTCGAAAGGGGAGGATCTGGGAGTTTGGAGAGTTAACCTTACGCCCCACTCCTTTGGACATGTTTTCTTTGTAGGGGATTTAGGATGTAGGGCTTAGTTTTTTGATGCTTTCCTGGTATCAGGATCTCGTAGGGTTGAAGCCTGTCGGAGGTGGATGAGTACATTGCGAGGCTGCGCAATAGCGTGCGACACCCAGCCAGCAGCATATTGAGAGCTTGCTTTTTGAGATGCCGATACGTCATCACAACAGGCGTTTGAGTCCTCCAATGCTATTAGGGCATGCAGACGGACAGTTTTTCAGGGACGGTCTGTTCGCAAATGTCGCCGCTCATGCGTTGCGTGTTGCCATACCTTGAGGAGGATTTCTTGGATTGTGTAGAAGCTCTTAGGCTTCAGATGGACAATTGTGCTTTTCTGCTCTGTTATCAGCGTTCCCCAGTCTTGTATCGCAATCTGTCCTATCGTTGTTAAATCTGATGGCTGCAGTTCCAATGCCCATTGCACAATGCTTTTCGGTGTTTCATAGTGTCAGCGACAAGACTTTGCCGTTCTCCATCGCAACCAGAAGTTGGAGAGCGGGTGAACAGCACAGACACCAGCGTAGTTAATAATCATGACATGTTGGGCACAAAGCCTAGCTTTGGTGAGCTAGGAATGAAGGAATGGCTCCTTACAGTAATGCTTATAACCCGTCATTTCCATTCATTCATTCATTCATTCATTCATTCCCAGCTAACCGAAGGTAAGAAAGTGGCTGGCCAAGGGTGCTGGAGAGCCCAACCTCGAAGCCCAAATGAGACACCAGGCCTCATCCCTATCTCTCGCTACAGCCTCTGCTCTTTGCCTTGAAGTTGGGGAACTGCTAATATCAACCTCACCCGGCCTCAACCCAAAGGGCGGTTTAAAAGGAAGATATTCTCAACACGCCTGGCTATTTCGCCAGCAAAATTTTGGGCTTCATAGGAAGCCCCCCAACAAATTCTTGCTTGAACTTCAGGAATCAATCACCTCCCCTAACAATACATCCCCAAATTTTTTGTATGTTGGTATGACATTGAGAGTATCCTCCTTCTGGGGGGGAAGTGATTACCCGAATTTCGCCAGGTGCCAGGGGTCGAGCTGATCTCCCCGCCTCCGCATCACGACATCTATTCAATCGAGGACTCAGGGAGCTCAAAGGGGGTAAACCCTAAACCCCTAAACCCTAAATGCTAAACCCTAAACCCTGAACCCCGAATCCCCTCAACTCTAAACCCCTAGACCCTTAGTGGTGCTTTGTTACCGGAAACCCGGGGGAGTGAACATAGGCATCATAGCTAGGGGATGGTTGGGGGGGGTAACATAAGAGGAGACTAATGGGTTACATGGGGATTATGTAGGGGTTATATTGGACTATATAGGGGTCATATAGGGTGTTAATATAGGGGTTATATGGGGAAAATGGAAAACAAAATGCAAAGGACTATAATGGGTATAGGGTACCCTAGGGTAATGTAGACCCGTTATTAATAACCCCCCTCTCCTTAATAGGGATTCTTATAGGGATCCCAATATTAAGGCCCTGAAAAGGAGGGGTTTATGAATCATGGGTCTACATTAACCCCCTAACCCCTAAACCCTAAATAGTAGCTTCCATTTTCTTTTCAATTATCCCTATATAACCCCAATATATTCTATCTACTTCAGGGGGACCATAAACCCTAAACCCCAAACCCCAAACTTATAAACTGCCCTATAATCCCAGTTTCCATTATTAACGCTCGGAACCTTGAACCTCTCCGAGTTGGAAGCCCTTATGAAGCCCCCTAGGGTTTGGGGTTTAGGGTTTAGGGTTTAGGGGTTTAGGGTTTAGGCTTTAGGGTTTAGGGTGATAGTGGATCATTTTGAGTTAAGGCTTTCTTCAACATTTCAGCTTCCTTGAGTAGAGAGACCACAATATAGACCCCAAAATGCTACAATCCTTAGTATGGGGAAGCCCAAAAAGGAACCCTTAATTTGGGAAAACCCCCCCAAGTCATGGAGTTCTCGAGAGCCTTGGGGTTGATCCTTACCAAGAGTATCAGAAGAGGAGGCTAATGGGTTATATAGGGTTTATATAGGGCTATACAGGGGTTATCTAGGGTGCTAATATAGCGGTTATTTAGGGATAATGGAAAAAAAGGGAAACTACTATAATGGGTTATGGGGGCTGTTCTTTGGGAAGCGGGACGTGAGGACTTTGCCGCTCCGCCACATCCCAAGTGGATGGTATAATATAGAGGCCTAAATAATTACCAATATTATCGTTCCATATTCCTTATGTAATTATGGTACCTCAAATGGACCTCAAAATGTTTAGGCCCCTGTAGCACTGTCAAGTCTACATGCTAAATTCTTCGCACAGTCCTGGACGTGTCAGTTTTTGCGCAGCTACAGTAGGTGTTTCAACGGACTCCACGCTGCACGGCCAGTCAGCAGTATCTGTAATTTTTAGGGTGGTGGCATTGAGCTGTGAATGATTTGTTTATCCTTCCTCATTTCACAGCCTTTCTGTATGATGTCACCGAAGCAGAGCTTGCAATTGCTGCGCCATCTCCGCGTCATTGCTACCATGGCCGCTGCCGCCGCCGCCACCACACCTACCGCCGCCGCCAGAAGTACCAGTGGCAGCCATCCTGCTGTCGATATGATAGTGATGGTGGTGATGACGTAGCAGTGAGTATAACTGGACCCGGAGCTTGCACAGTGAACAGTGAAGATGAAGAACACGAGGAAGCAGTAGCAGTAGAAGAAGCAGCAGAATTTGCAGGATTTAGCGCAGCTGATCTTCGACTTGCACCAGGCCTGGTTGGTGGCAGGGACAGTTGAAGTAAACGTTGCGGAGAGCTGTGCGGTTCGAGTTTGCGCGTCTAGAGCTTTGCAGTATTCACACTAGACACCCTAAACCCTAAGCCCTAATTCCAAAACCCTAAACCCTAGGGCTCAGCACTAGTGATTTGAGGTTTGGCCCTCCGACCCTCCGAGATGAAGGTCGGAGGTCGAAGCTGTAGCTAATACGAGTAAATAATTGAAAATCGCAGTGACCGTACTAGTAATAATCGTAGTCATAGCAATGATAGTACTAGTACTGATAGTTGAATAGTTTCAATGATCATAGGGTCAGGGTTATTGCGAACTGCTGATACGTCTGGAATTTCCTGCACCAGAGATGGTGTGTTACGACAAACTGCGGTTGGAGTTATGAAGTTCAATTCGCAGCCCAGCACTCCCGCAGTTATGAATTGCATGGGTATCTTGGGCTTCCCGGTTGCTGGGCTGCTCCACTCAAAATACATGGAAGGCCACTTACCTCTCTGTACCAGGGAAGCCATCTTCGAAGGGCCCCATTTGGGGCTGCACTTTCTCTTGGGAAGGGCATGCGCTTGCAGGCGAACTAGCATCCAGAGTGCAAGTTCTAAGCTGAACTCGACACATCAGATGCATGCACCCCGGTGCACGCACAGGTCGACTCGAAGCATCAAACAAATCCAAGATCAAAAAACGTTATACAGGTTTCACCCAAATCCCGAGAAGCCCTACCGGGCGATGACAGTGACAGCTCATACCAATCTCTCTTAACAGGTGAGTCCGGATGCGAAGGTGTCCGTGAAGCTGGTAGCCAGCTCGGGCATTGGCACTATTGCCGCGGGAGTTGCCAAGGCATTTTGGTTGCTTGTGCTGTTCGCAGGGAACCAAGCTGGGTAGGCCCGCGGGATATTTGATATTTTCCCTAATGGCTTTAATAGGGGACCCTATATATTAATATTTTTCAAAGGGTTTTAGGGGCCAACCCAGCAAGACATGAAAAAGAAACTGGAAGCTACTTTTTTTCTAAACCCTAAACCCTAAACCCTACGTTTTTTTCATAGCGGGCCTGGGATGAAAGAATGGAAAAGCACATGGAACTGCCGTACTATTGGGCTCCACAGGGGCTACCATAGGAATCCAGTCCTTCATTCCTTGCTAAGAGCTGCCATCAGCCGGTGAGGTTGGTAACAAAACCCTAAACCCTAAACCCTAAATCCTAAACCCCTTCCCCTATTATGAAATATGCCCACCACCTAGGAGCAATCGTCCGGCGTTGTTGGAATGTCTTACCATAGTGGGAAGTATCTAATGGTTAAGGGATGGGGGTTTAGGGTTTAGAAGAAAAGGGTTTAGGGTTTAGGGTTTAGGGTCTAGGGTTTAGGGTTTAGGGTCGGATTTACCCGAAGGCCTAAAACCTTAAACCTGGGGCAGAACGGGGGTATATAGGAGGATTTGTATGGGAGTATAGGGTATACTAAGGGTGGAGTTGTTCAAAATCCTGTGCCGGCAGATGGCGCCAGATGCATGGGGTGCAGGTGAAGGTAGGCGTTTGAGAGTTGCAATTTCACGCTCCCGCAGCCCCCAAACCAGGAGAGAATCCCTGAGTTCCCTGGGATGTTTTTTCCAGGCAGTCATTCGTAAGGGTTCTGCCCCATTTGAGGGCGGCGCCAGCTTTCAACAGTTTTGTGCCGATTCCCGAAGCGCTAGTGTTGGTGCCTACTAGGAAGGTTGAATCAAGTTCAGCCTGGGGTCGTTGAGAGGGATGCTACAACATAGTCTCCTAAAGTCCACCAGTCTTTCTGGCGCCAGAGAGTCTGTGCCATCCATCCAGGCAAATGCGGATGTCATCCAGATCTCGGGGCACGATGGTGCAGCCCTCAGGGCACTTGCCGCCACAGGGTTGTTAACAAATGTGGAAGCTTTGCAGGGCCCGGCAAAGACTGCAACCCTTCAACAGTGTCATCTTGAACTAGAGAGCAGGACACGGGGACCATCCCTTTTTCCTTCCTTGTGTGCCTTTTTGGGGGCTCCATGCTCCACATTTGTCGTTCGGGGGAGGGGTGTGTATGTCCCCGAAGCCATGTCTGAATGATGTACACGCTCTATTGAAAATCCTGAAGACCCGAAGGTCTCCAGCACAATCGCCAAACCCAGAAACTCAACAGACCTGATCATCAGAACACCCCCCAGACATGGGTGGTTGTCAAAATTATGGTCCCTTTTTGGGAACCAGGTGCCGTATTATAATAGGGACCCAAAAAAAGGACCATAATTTTGACAACCACCCACATTCATCCTAAACCACAACTCTCTGAACAGATGCAATCTCCTTCCCCGTGTAAGCAACGAAAATGCCCAATACACGCTTGGAATTACATCGCCATATGAACCCCACAAAAAGATCGTGCCCATTTGATCAGTCATCTGCTGTTTTACTTGATTCCCCAGAGGGACCAAGCTATACCCTAAACCCCAATTTTGATACCTTCATAGAAACCCTCAACCCTAAACTGTTCCTTAATTCCGGTAAGGCGGAACTGGGGCATCCCCTCTGAGCGGCTTGGAGGCATTCACCATAGCCTGGCCCTGGGTTTCTCCCTCCCCGAACCCAATCCTGGGCCTATAGTCCCCCTTAAGTAGATAGACTATGGGTCCCTTTAAAGGGTTATATAGGGGTTATATGGAAAAGAAAATGGAAACTGCTATTTAGGGTTTAGGGTTTAGGGGTCTTTAGTCCCCCCTTAAGTAGATAGAATATGGCTTTGGGTATATTAAAATAAGATCCCCATATACCCCATATTCTATCTACTTAAGGGGGACTATAAGCCCAAACAGCTACCAACCTTGGGCACCGCTGAATCTTGCCTCCCTGAGCCCAATCCAAATCCTAAATCCACACAGCTTCCAACCATGTCCGTTATGGTTCACGGTTCGGGGATCGCCAAGAGGCGTGCTCTAGAGCTTTCGGGAACAACATATTTCAGGTTTTTTGCTTGTTAACAGCTGGCACTCCTTGTTGCTGGGTGCCAGTTGGGTTAGGAACCGTTTCAGGAAAAGGTGCTGAGCCCGGAAATGTCGCTGTGAAGCAGCCCAAGTGAGGCAGCATCATGCACGCTGGCGGCCCATGGGAGCAGGGTCTGTCGGAAGTGCAGTCCGTTCTGGTTGAGAACGGTGCCGAAGTTCTCCATTTTAGAAAGCATTTTCAAATGATTTGCTGGAGTGGGCTGGGCGCCAGTAAGTTAGCTCGGTGAAGCCTTCCTCTAATCAAGAGGTAGGTGTTGAATATCCTTGTTTAATAGAGGCTTACGGCGATCTGCATGGGTTTCTTACAAATTGTTGGCCGGGCTCCCTAGCCCTTAGGAGGGATGGCGGGACGAGATCATAGAGCATCTTGTAAGGGATTAGATAAGGGTTACCTGGACCTTAGCAGTCGGTAAAGTCACGGGCCCATAGCCTTCAAAAAGCCAAGAGGCTATCCTTCTACACTCTTTCGGAGTCCAGGTAGTGGCTCGTGTAGGGATCCACCCCCTCATGGCTCCTGAGAACTTCTTGGACAGACTGTCTGGCGTGTTTCGTTCAACGAGGTCATAGTCTTAAGAAATAGTCAGAGCTTCCCTGAAGGACCCACATGATAGTCAGAGTCATAGGTTCCAGGTTGTGAGGGCCGCAGAAACCCGTATCGCCTACAAACATACGGCTTTGGAGTAAGTTACGCAGCAAGGTCTGAGAAACAGGGTCACGCTGCGGGTGGATGGTGGCATCAAAACTGGCTGGGACATAGTCGTCGCAGCTATGATGGGGGCTGAGGAATACGGCTTCGGCAGCGTGGCCATGATGCTCGGCTTGGTGTACAAGAAATTTCGCAAGTTTAGGTTTGTTTGAGTTGTAGTGAGGAGAGTGAAGGCAATCCGTCAGACTGGACAAACAGTCTTTCCTTGAAGAAACACTCATATTTGCATACACACACGCATGGCCGCTCAGAGCCTGAATTTTCCCAAATTATCAAAAAGCATTAGGAGGCTTGTAGGGGAATCTAATCACACCATATGAGCCATAGTCTAAACTCCTAGTATCCCCCTTAATAACCCCAATAATACTCCCCTATATAATCCCCTATATAATCCCCCTTTAAGGAGTTTAGACTATAGCTCATATAAACCCTAAAGCCTGAGCCCAGGATCGCTGAGGGCTGTATCATGGCACGGGTCTGCCACATGCAGCTTGATAGAATGGAAAAGGACACGGAAACCATCATGGGATGTAGGGTTTAGGGTTCAGATGTTGGGTAAATTTCTGAGGGTCCCAGAAGAAGGATTTAGGATTCCGGGGGTTTAGTAGGGGGCTATTTCCAGGACCTCTTGCCGAATCATACAGTAAAGCATCGCCCAGGAACAGGTGCCCGGTGGGCGTGGCGACGCAACGGGAAGATCTCCGGAGGAAGTTCCCTGGAACTCCCGATTCTCGGATCTTTGGATTTGAGGTCTCCTCGTCTAGATTAAGCTTGTATAGCCCTCCTCCTACATTGAAAAATATGAGGGGCGGATTGGAACTGATGACCCTGGCCTAACGCGTGATTTTGAATTTCTGATGTCTCAGCAATCACTTAAGTAAGGACCTGTTGCATAATAGTACAACCCTCGACCCTTGCTTCATGACCAACCTCTTGTATGTTTAAGACTTTTGGGGTTGAGGGACAGCATGGGGATCGTTGCATAGTCTACAGAGAGTTCTTCTTGCTCTTGGTTCCTGTTTCGACTCTGAAACGGCACCGAGGGACCTACACATGATCTACGCTGGGGATGTACAACCAGAGCTGCAGTATACTTGGGTTATATTGGGGGAATATAGGGGAAATGGAAAAGAAAATGGAAACTACTATAGTATATTTGGGTTGTATTGGGGTAATATAGGGATAATGGAAAAGAACACTCTTCAAAAACCTGCATGTTATTTGTGCAGGATCAGGCATCTCTACTTGTATTGGAGGCGCGCATAGCATGCAAGTCGCGGGGACGATTTCGGGCTGTCAAAGGGTTGAGCAGCGAATCTGTTTCGGCAGTTGGGCATGACTGCATTGACCCTAGCGAGGGATATGTATATCTGTATAAAGGTTCAGATCGTTTGCAGAAATTGAGGGTTGCAATTTGCAACAATTTCGGTTGTCAACATCATGGTCCCCTTGTGGTTGCCCTAAATCTGAGGCGTCAAGCGGTTTAGGGCTTAGGGTTTAGGGTGGGGCCCGCGTTGGGACTACCCATTTGCATGGATTTTACGGTGCTGCCTGTTCCTAGATTCATGCCGAAGTTTTTGAGTAGTATTTTATTTGGGGATACGATGGTACCCAATATAGAGTAAGATTATATCCTCCTTTTGGGTATAGTGTTTTATACATACAGAATATTATCTCACTAGGTTCAACCACCAAAAAAACACTACTCTATTGGTTCTGTAGGGTGATTGAAAGGATTTTGGGTTTTATACGGGTACATTGGGGTGGATGAGAAAATGGGAGCAATTTTAAACTTGGGGCCTGGGTCGAGAATACCCCCCTCCCCTGGCAATAGATTTCCCCTGAACATATAATAGTTGTCGATTCGGGGGCAATTATTAGGGTCTTAGGGGATATATCATCAGGGGACGGGATTAATTATGCTAGCATCACCCCTCGCACCCCTAATATGGAATAATCTTTTGCATATGACATCTTACCTCTTGGACAATATATTTGGTGTGAAGGGGTTAGCCCCTACACCTTTAGACCCTAAACCCAAATAGCCCTTGCGCCCTGACACCCTCGAAGTGAGAGCCTTCCAACCCTACCCTGAACAAGCAGGGACCATGGCACCAACCTCAAAGCCCCTTAGCTAAGCGGTGACTCCCTCTTAGGGTTTGCACAAACCCTAAACCCTAAACCCTACACATTTGTAAGGACCATGTCGCCAACTTCATGCTTTTCGTGGCGGAGGAGGTTCGCACTATCATTGCCGCGCTAGGCTACCGCTCTTTGGACGAGGCGAGGCCTGCTCATCAAGGGCTAAGGGTTTGGGAGTTAGATGGGTTTAGATTTTGGGGTTTGCTCAACATAGGCAACGTAAGGAGCCATAGTCTAAACTCCTTAAAGGGGTTTATAAAGAGGATTGTATTTTATTGAGAATTTGGGGTTTAGGGTTTGAACTCCTGAAAGGGGGTTATATAGGGGACTATGTAGGAGACTCACTATAGGGTTTATTAAGCGCAATGCTAGGGTTTAGACTATGGCTCATAGGATTACCGCGCTCCACAACTACGAAGGTAACCGCAGCTTGCTACAACCACGGCCATGTGATTGTCGGATGTCTCTCATAGGGTGCTTGTTTTGGATTGGGGTGGCCAAAATTCCCGCCTTCAAAGACCCTACGCCCTGGAAATCCTTATCTATGCTGTTAGATGCCCTGCAACCCCCCATATTGGGTCTGACTCTTTTTTTCTATCCTTGAAATCATGTCCAGGGAAGCCCTCGGATACGCGGTTTAGGTTTTGGGGTTTAGGGAAAACAGGAGGTCCCAGGTAAAATCCTTGGTAGCTGAGTTGGCAGCCTTTAACGTTTTGGGATGTACATAAACCCTATGAGAATCTAAAGGCTAACCTTTTTGGGGTCGGGGAAGCTCAGGAGTTAATCCTCTCCCCCTCATATGGAACCCTTGCACCCCCCCTAATCTTATAGAGGATTATGTAGGGAGTATTACAGGGGTTATTAGGGGGGATGCTAGGAGTTTGTAGACAATAGCTCAGATTGTGTTAAATACTCCCAATATACTATAACATTGGGGAGTATTTATTATTAGGGGGGTGGCGGGGGGTTTAATATTAGGGGGAGGGGCTTGTCGCTGTAGCTTACAACCCTTATTGTGGAGACTACCGCAAGGGAGCCGTGAATTGTGGGAGGTACTTTCAGAAAGATGCGGACGGGACTTTCCAAGGAAATGACGGGCTGCCTTTTGGGTTCGCATACTTGGTTACCTTTCTTGTATGGACTTTTACGAATGTGGTCATGGGTCGGTATTGCCCGTACTCCTGCTGATGGTGCCGTCGTATGATTCACACTCATGCCGATGTATGCGTGTCGGTTGCATTTTTCTTCCCATGATTTGTGCCGCTTTGTTCCTCCCATGCTAAACCCTAAATCCCAAAGTTCCTAACCCCATTCCTGCTGCTATTGTCACTTTACTGTCTCTGGCTGAAGGTCATCGGCCGTTCGGATTTACTCAGACCGCGAGCGGAGAACGCTGTACGGACCAATGTCCCCCAGCCAGCTCTAGCATCGCAGCGGAGGACGCGTGTGATTTTTTACTTCTCCCTCAAGAGAAAATAATGAAACCCACCACCCCTTTGATAATGTTTTTCCTCCTCGCATGTTGATCGGACCCTTGTGGAACAATTTGGTATGTGTTTAATCTTGGGCGTGCCAGTAATGAGAGTAGGTTCTCTGAAAGAGCAGGTGGATCCAAAAACATGTGGTAGTTTCTTAAAACAGGGGACCCCAACATAGACTCAAAATACCATAGTCCTTATGATGGGGACTCCAAGAAAGGTACCCCTAATTTTGGGAAACCTCCATTAAACCTCCCCAAACTGACATGGCTTTTCAGTGATTTAAGGTTTTCCTGCTAGTTTTCATTCTGGACGCAGTCAGGAAAAAGCGGACCCCAAAGCAGCTGACAAAGACGAGCTGCATCTTGACTTTCGATTTCAGACAACTCGGTCATAGTCCCCTTTAAGTAGATAGAATATGGCTGTGGGTATATTTTTTTAAAGATCCGCATATACCCCATATTCTATCCACTTAAGGGGGGCTATAGAGCTTGGTTTAGGGGTCTCGGGTTTGCGGTTAAGGTCGTAGTGTATAGTTTTCTCTTACTTCTGTCGTGTACCCTATACAACCTCTGTATGCTCCAGGCATCAAAACTCATTTCAAGGGTTGCTTGTGGGGCCTACGTTCCTTCACATTCCTGCTACGGCATACCTCGACAGAGTTTCTATCAAGTCCAGAAGTAGACCCTTAAGCGTGGATTCTGAACAGGAATGTAGAAACCTGAATGACAAGTAAAACTGTTCCCCTCGCCCCTCGCATATGGTTGTGTTATCTCTTTCAGCCACTGGAGTGTTGAAGCCCTGAAGGCATAGACCTCAGCGGCTTTTTCGCGGACGAGCGTCCGGAAGAGGAAAGCAGACTGTCCTGGGTGGGGTCTCAGCGAAGTCCCTCAGCTTTCAAGCATGACCGGGGCCCTGTGGATACTAAGGAGTGGCAACATGAAGCTTTCTCTCTCCTTATACTAACAACCAGTGAGTAGAGATTGTATTTAAGATGCCCTGAAGCCTAACAGCCTATGGGTAGCCACCCGTTTAGTGGGCCATCTGTGGGCGGAAGCTTCTCGGTACTTTGAGCCTACCTTTTTGAAGAACCTCGCACCTTTAACCCAAGCCCTGAACCATATACCCTGAAACTTCTACTTTATACCCATATGCCAAACCCAACGCCCAGATCGATCTGCGCACAGCAACGGGCCAGTTCTGGATGATGAGATCTTGGCAGATCCAGAAATTGCAGCAGTGATTGAAAGCAACAGCGGAAGAGTTTGCAAGGAGTTGAGAATTGAGAATGTACATAGATCTGTGGCTGGGCACTCAATATTCCCATGATTTCACCTTTTGGGCTTCCTAGTTGTGTATTCCTACCCAAGGTCATCAAGGGGTTTCAGCAAGGGACTCCCATATTCATAAGCACGGGACCCTATATAAACCCCCAAATATGACAAACCTTGTTCTAATAAGGATTCCCCAAACAAGGAGCCCTAGTTTTGGAAGCACTTAACCTTCTATTTCCCTAAATCGTCCTTATACAGCCCGTTGTATGACCTCTCTTTTCTAGTGTGCTTGCAGAATTCAGGTTGGTGGAAGACTAGCTGGTGTCATCGCCTCCAAGTATCTTTACTCTGAAGGTTTGCAAGTATTTACAGGTTTAAGATATTCCCAGCGTTTTTTGCAGATTTTGAATTTTTTAAAGTCTACAGCGCAAGATGGCATAGACAATTGCCATGTTTGCAAACGGTTACCTCAACAAGATCCAAGTATATTGGATCCCCCACAATCTCTCCAAATCCCATGGAACCCCCCCTTAAGGGCTTGCAATTTCCCTAAACCCTAAACCTCAGGTATGGAGATTATGGCTTTCAAGGGGAGATTGAGCTTAGCTTCGTGGGCTCTGCAGGGCAGTCCTTTGGTGTGTGGAACACCTCTGGCGTGTGCCTCAGGGTCACAGGAGACTGCAACGACTACGTGGGAAAGGGCATCAATGGAGGTCCATAGTGGCCGAAAAGCAAGAGCCTGGAAGAGCTCAGACCCTAACTTTGTGGGAGTTTCGCTAAGATGATGAACACTGGGGTAGATAGGAGGACTCCATTCGCTTGGACACTTGACTTGAAGACCCATTAGTTGCGCCTGAATAATCCAAATTTGTAGCCGCCTACGCAATCCTCAATTGGTTTAGTGCCCTCTTACTATCATTATATTACTAGTATTGTTAGTTTATTATTGTTGTCATTATTTACGTCTTCTTCGTATGACCCCATGAAGGTACAATAGTAGCTGTCAAGCCAGCCGACAGCTCTTTCGCCTCGGAGGAGAATGTGATAGCAGGCGCCTGAGATGCCTTTGGTTTTGTTGGGCCGGGATTACATAGGGTTTATATAGGGTGTGCATAGAGTTTATATAGGGATTTTTGAAGGCGATTCCTCACAGTTGCGGAGTGATACCACAATGGCTTAACTTGATTCATTGGCTCTGGGCAACCAAGGTAATACTTGCCTTTATGGCGCCACGGGCGGTCAAGTTTTCTTGAACGGCCGCGTCGGCGAGCGATTCGGAATACGAAATGCTGGCTGCGAAGCAGTTATCGAGGGCTCTGGCGACCACCTTGGCGAATACATGACCCTCGGGCTGGTTCTGAAAGGAAACGCTTAATGCCTGCTTTGCATCAGTACACGTGGGTAATAATTCCCCACGTTCACTGCGGGGTTCTAATTTTTGATGCTGTCGCCCGCCATGCCTGCATGCTCTTCCGTCGCGCAACAATGTCGCTTCAAAATCGCGCTCTCGCTCGGAGCATCCTCAAAAAATCGGCATTCTATGTTGAGTTTCGATCCAAAAAATAGGTGACTTTGAAGTAGTCTTGCTAGAGGGGTCCGGCACCGAACGGGTCGCGCCCTGATTCATGAAAATTGCACTCCCGTGCGGGACATCCTCAAAATTCCAGATTTTGCTTACTCAACACCCGCTCGAGAGAGTCGCTTTTTTTTTTTGAGTTTTGATCGTCTTTCTATCTTCAAAAGCTCCCGTGCGGAGCATCCTCGAAATTTTGTCGGTTTATCTTCATCAGACTCGATCAAACTGACGCTCCCGTTTCGGAGCATTCGGAAAATTTGGATCATTTATGAACGGTGATGTTGAGGAAGTCTTTACTAATTCTATACCAAATGAGTCCCAGTGCACCTCGTTCGAGGTGGTTTTCTGGGCTCAAAAGGGCGGTATCGAGCGGAGGGCTCCGGTACAGCTTTGGTATGCTTTGGTATAGGATTCGTCGACTTCGTCGTCTAAAATCTGACGTTAAGTGGATGGATCCTATACTAATTCTACACTGGACTGCTCCGCTGAAGCTCGTCTTCTTCGTTCAAATTTTGAAGAAAATCGTGTTCCTGCGTGGAGCATCCTGAAAATTTTGAAGCAAATCGCGTTCCCGTGCGGAGCATCCTGAAAATTTTGAGAAAAATCGCGTTCCCGTGCGGAGCATCCTGAAAATTTTGATGAACATCGCGCTCCCGTGTGGAGCATCTTGAAAATTTTGAAGAAAATCGCGCTCCCGTGGAGAGCATGCGGAAAATTTTGAGAAAAATCGCCTTCCCGTGCAGAACATCCTGAAATGTTCATCGTTTTTTTTTCTGTTCAAAAGCACGCTCCCGTGTGGAGCATCCTTATAATTTCTTCGTTTTTTCGTTCAACATCCCGTTCCCGTGCGGAGTGTCCTGAATATTTTGGATGTAACTGCGCTCGCGTGCGCAGCATCCTCAAAATTTCGTCGTTTCTTCATCAACAATCACGTTCCCGTGCGGAGCGTCCTGAAATTTTTGAAGAAAATCGCGCTCCCGTGCGGAGCATCCTTAAAAAGTCACGGATGTTTCATGTACATCCCGTGCGCCCGCACGCAGTTCTGGTCGGGTCAAGACAAAGCGCCGACCGGTTTGCCATGAATGATGGAGGGGCTATGGAAAACTGGGACAGGTCCCCCGGCATCTGCGCCTATTGTGAGACGGAAAAAATCTGTTGCAGGGTGTGAGCTTTGCATGCTGTCTGAGATTCAGTCTTAGTCTTACTGTCTTAGTGGACATGTGAGTAAACCTGACTCAGGTCTACACGAACGACCACGTCGAGAGCGAGATGGTGATCATTTGCCATAAAATGAAAAAATCATTTGTTTTTCTTCGCGTTCGCGTTGCCAGCTCCTCGCATCGTTCGGAACGATCGTTTCCCCTTCTCCTCTTCTCTTTGAACATGTCTTCTTTCGGCGGGTGGCAGTATCCTAATATCATTTCACATAGATCTAGGTTCAACTACACATGTGGGGTTCTCCGGTCCTTTAATTTTCCTATCTCTTGTTTGCCGGAGTTCTGGCTGCTGGAGTGTTCCTTAACCAGCACCTAAAGAAACACCGAAAATGCAAGAACAGCCCGCCTTGTAATGCTTGCCGAGAGATGAACCAGCCGGAGTGCAGGTCTCTAGATGGTTGGGCAATGCAGTAGCTTCGAGTCTGGCATTGGATGTTGCATAGGTATCAGATACTTAGGAAGCAGTACCCAATTTTTACATTGCTTTGCGTTGCCAACAAACAACATCAGCAGAGGACTAACGGAGTCATCGTTGCACTGGGTGCTGTAGGCCGGAATGTGGGAGCGGGGATGAGCAATGGCTTGCTTTACATCTACGACCCCGAAGACCGGGGCCTCCAGATGAATGCGGACAACAGGACCTCCGGTGACTAATGTCATATTGCAGGGATTGCAGGAGCCATTGGCTGCAACAAAACGGTGATGGTGGGGGATTATCAGGATGTGGGGGGGTGGTTTTGAAGCAACTAAAATTCAGGCAGGTAATAACGTTGGCAGGTTTTTAATTCAAAGTCTGCCATCCCCAAGATTCCTAGCCAGGGGTATCCCGTGATTGCACGATTGCACCGTGGCGTATGAAACAATACCACTGCCCCCAATGTACCTCCCAGAATAAAGGGTCCCTGGTTAATCATGGTATCTGAGGAGATCATGATCTTGCCACCATTTGCAGTCCCAATCCAAACGTTGGAGAGAGTCATGGCTGACTCATTTGATCCTGCGATCATTTCCAGGGATGGAGAAGCCAATTGACCTTTGCTGCCTGCCACTTCTCGCACCAAAGTCGGATACCCATCAGTCACCATAAGCATTTGCAATATAGAAGCCAAAATAATTACATTTTGAGGTCCCATATACTATAGGGTACCTCAAACGACTTCAACATGATATTGGCAATAAGTTGGGCCACGGGCATGGTCTACACTCGAGCCCGCAATAGATCCCTTGAAGCTACTGTACTCTCGGGCAAGCCCATCTGTGACACAAAGAGCGTGTGGGGGAGGGGTCTCGAAACACTCCCGCTATGGTCCCTACAGGGACCGCGGAAGCACCTCCCTCACAATCTAGACCCTCCTGCCAACTGAGTCAGGCCTTTATATTGCCCACATGCCGTCATGCTGGTAAGAGCTAGCTAGACAGGAGTGGAAACCCTTAAAGCCTAAGCCTGGGCCAGGAGCAACGTGTTCCGGGTCACATCCCCTGTGGGCCAGGAACAGCTAAAGGTCCTCATACAGAGGCTCGCAGTGCACAACTAAAAGAGTCACATGATCGCACAGCTGTATATGCTGAACTGGTAACAGTCGAAGGGTTTCAGGGTGTCGGTGGAGGTTGGTCGTCGAGTGGCAGTGGCAGTTGTGGTCACTAGCATGGAGGTGCAGGCAGTTAGTTGTCGGGACCTTCCAAGGGCTACCTTTTGCCGCTCAAAGGAGGTCAAGAAACAAGCTGCTTGGGCAACCCTGGCGGATTTTCTTGTCCCTACCCAAGCCCAAGGTAACCCTGTACAGTAATGGCCAACCCTGGAGCCTCCGCTACCAAACCTTGGCGACAGGTTTATCTGACCCGCGAAATCAATGTCTTACTTCCTGAGGTGTGTTTCTGCCTCACGAACCCCCCAGCCTTTCCCCAAAATCCTGATCTTATGAAACTTTGGCAGTGGGGCGTCCCAGGGTAAGTCTTTGACCTAGCGCCCAAACCTCAAAAACCTGCACATTCTCCCAAATCCTAAGCTCAGGGGCTCCTATCCCCCCGAGCGTTCTTCATAAGGACTTGGGGCTTACAACCCTCCATGAGATCCAGCTCTGAGACTCCTTCAGAGGCATAGCGACCTGACCGGGAGCTCAATTGCTGCTGGCATTCTCGAGGACCCTATACGTCAGAGGTTGGAAGCATGTGGGCCCCTAGTAGTGCCCCCAGCCTGTTTCAGGGAGAATGCAGGGGCCATTCAGCGTACATAGTGGGTGTGCAAGGCCCCAGAATGACATTAATTAAGCAATTATGAATTATGAAGCATTCGAGTATTGCGGGGTAAAAAGAAGTAGGACCTAGAGACTTTCCACATGACGCTGGTAGGCCTTGCGAAGGTTCAGTGCAGAGCCTTGTCTTGGCTGAACCTCATTTGTCCTAGGCCCCAAACCCTTGAACCAAACAACCTAAACCCTGGACCCTCGTATTTCCCATGTTCGACTGTAGACATTTGGCTCCAGCGGAGTCCCGGCACGTGTAAGCGTGCCCGCGCGGATGGTGTCCCGAAGTCGGTCTCCACGGAGGGAGCCCTCCGTTCCTGTGGCCGAGGTCGCATGCCATTCTTGAGGTTCAGGGGCCTGGAGTGTTTGAGGAGTCTTCGGGCGTGGGGCCTCGTTCCACAGAATCTGCGCAGGCTTGCAGGCTTGGGCTGTAATAGAACCGCGCAGGCTTGCGGGCTTGGGCTGTAATTAGGGTTTGAGAGGTTGGCGCGTTGAGGTTTTGATGTTTTGTAAGGGTGTGGGTATTGCGGCTTATGTTTCAAAGATTCGCAGTTAGGGCCTGAAGATTCATAGGATTTGAAAGTCTGAAGCTTCAGCCAACCTGTAGACGCAATTTTTCAGATTTGCATCCGTGCCCAGCACTATGCTAACAGGCTGCAGTTCTAGTCTCTTTTGCACATGCGGGTGCCCATGGTGCGACGAATTACTCTACTTGCACCCCCAAACTAAGTTCATGCAAGCTCAAAGAGGGGCCCTACAAAGACCGCGGGTCCTTCTGAGACGGGGCCGCTATGGGGGTTTCCACAAACAGGAGACCAATATAGACTCCCAAATACAGTAATGAAATAATCCTATTATGGGGACTCCCCAAAAAAGAGACACCTAAGTTTTTTGACCCTCTGTGGATTTCCATGTCACTTTGCCCTACGATGTCGGGAATCCGTTGCGAAGAGGATGTCGCGGCGGCCCATAAGCTGAGAGGGCGCTATGATCCTCCAAGGTTGGGTCTGGGGGTGTAGGGTTTAGGGTTTGTACTTCTGGAGACAAGGAAAGCTCTTGTTACTGATGGTTTGGGTTTGGGGTTCAGGATTTAGGGTGTGGTGCTGTAAGGGGGGGACCATATAGGGAGTATGCTGGCGTTGCTAGGGGTGCAATACGCGTTCCATAGAGGTCTATAAGGGTGGCGGTGGGGGGAGGGGGGGTGGGTGGTTGAGGATTGAAGAGAGCTTACTGAGAATCCTCAGTTTTGGAGCTAGATGCTGCATCTCTTTTAAAGAATCTTGGGCCCGCTCAGCTGTAAAGTAGTTCAAACGCGATTATGTGGAGTCTCTTTGGGCCCATCAAACGGGAATTTCCGGAAAATCTTTCAAACCGATGCCAACATGATCCCAGGTCTGATAGCCCCCATCAGTTGAAATGGACAGAGCCCCCTGAACCAAATGTCGTACATGGAGCCAAGAACCCAAACCCGTACTTGGAACCCAAAAGCGCTTGAGGCCTGATAAGCTATGATCGAATGTCTCCAAATCATAGTAGCTACATAGGCCCTCGAAGTAGTCAACCCCCGTATGCATAAACTAAAAAATCCCACCCCATCGGCAACGAATCTTCCATTATGAACGAAGGTGCCATATAGGGAGTATTTATCATTCAGTTCAATAGGGGATTATGATCCTTGATGCCGCAGTTGTGGACTTCCATCAAGCTAGCAGTACACAACCCCGAATGCACGAGTTTCGGGCCCGAGAGTTGCGCAGGCATGGGTCTGCGAGACACTTGCTACCCACAAAGGAATAATCCACCCACACCCCCTGAACATAGATACTCCCAATAAGCACAAGGACAATGAATGGCGGAGATATCTTTTGGTCAGTTGGGTGGAGGTTGTTGTTATCTGGGAGAGGCAGCACATATGTCATGTTGGCAGGTGTGCTCATTACCCGTCTACTGCTAGGCCTCGAAACCCAAGCCATCATGAAATTGGCAACTATAATGGCAGTACAGTCTTGACGATGAATAATTAGCCATATAAAGAAACCTAGCTATCCGGATGTTTTGTCATCATGCTATGGCTATAAGCATTCTCACTGCACGGTCTTGGAAACTGCTGTCAGGGCCCCTCAGCCCCCCACAGCGCGGCAGGAGTAAGGATGATACTGGGCAACTGTGCCCAAACCCCTTATATAACCCTATATAACCCCAATAATCCCTATGTATCCCTATATAACCCCTATATGATGCCCCATATATTGTACTCCTACCATGTCCTCATGACGAGTTTGGACGCTGTGGGCAGTTCTGCCCGCATTGCAGTTTGCTTGCAGACAAGGCAGGCCACACAAAGGCAATGGTCGACATGAGTTGCCAGCTCACTAGCCATTACGCCCAAGAGATCTAGTAGAGAGTTGGGAAGTCTGGCGATTCTAGCAGGTAGAACATTGAGCAAGAGTACCTAACATAAATCATCTTGCGTGCGCTAAGCGTCGCAGTACAACGAATAGTGCAAAGAGCACTGGCAATGAACGAGCGCACAGATTCCAAGCCCTTGAACCCTGCCGCGTGAGGCAGTCCAAGTTCAGAGTCTCCGCAATTCTGCGCTTCGTGCGCCCGGATGGCTCAACCGACATCTTGGAGGCCTCAGCCACGGCGGCCATGGGAATGTCTCAAAGGTCGAGAGTTGGGATTAGACTCTTGTGTGATGACAGGTTACGGGTGAGGGTTTATAGTGTTCAAGTCAAAAATCGTTATCAGGCTTTTCTGAGCAACGAAGCCTCCTATATCCGCATATATGCACTTCAGCATACACATTAGAAAGGGACGCTGTTCCCACCCTCTAGATCATTTGGGCATAAACTGAAGCAATAGGCCACCGAATTGGAGAACCTCTAGCGGATGCAAGGCCGTGAATGCCGAGCCCCACGACGCGAACATCCGCGGTGCGATCTGTGCTGAGAGAGCGGCTCTCTGCCAGTTCCAGAAGGATTGCAAGAGGGCCTATAGGGCCCATGGTATGCAGAGGGTATATGAGCTATAGTCTAAACTCCTTAAAGGGGGTTATATAGGGGATTATATATGGGACTACTATAGGGGTTATTAAGGGGGATACTAGGAGTTTAGACAGTAGCTCATATAGCATTCAATGAGACTCTCGGGCTGAATAATTTGAAACCAGGGAGAATCACATGGACAAGCAAGTGGAAAATGACATGGACAGTTGGCCTGTAACATTTTCCAGATTCAAGGATGACGCGCTTTAGGCTTTAGGGTCTCATCTGCTTCCCCGAATGATGAACCCCCTGCCATTCTGATTATGAATGCCCCAATAAAGTAAGTACCACCATGCATTGCGGGAATATTTGTTACGAGGGGGTGGGAGGGTTACATGAATTGTTGTGTCGGTCTAGGGTTTATGGTTAAGATCTACCTCCGGAAAAAATGGCTTTTGGTTCCAAGATATCAGCAACATGGAAGCCCTAAGCCCTCAACAGCAAACCTAGGTCTAGAAACCCTGAACCCTTAAAACCCCAAACCCTTAAAACCCTAAACCCAGGTCCAGAGCTTTTTGGGTCGAGGCTTAGTTTAGAACCTGGTGTTTGGGGTGTGGGTTTTGGTGGGGTTAGGCTTTAGGCATTGAAGCCCTGTGGGCTCACGCAATGAAACTCCCAGGGATCGGGGAAAGAAGGCTTAGAGACTTCGGGGGCTGAGGATATGGGCCTGGGTTCACAGAACTACCCTAAACCCTAAACCCTAACCCCTAAACCGTGTGGGGGTTTCAGCTCTTCGGGAGTGAAGGCTGAAGGCATAGGCGCGATAAGCCAACTTTTCAGAGTTTGGGATACTATGGTACCCAATAAGGGTTTAGGGTTTAGGGGTTTCAGATTTTAGGGCTACTATGGTACCCAATAATGCAGAATCAAATGGAAAAGAAAATGGAAAATGAAATGGAAACCCTAGGTCCCCTTTAAAGGGGTATATAGGAATCTTACCCCAAGAATGGAGAATCAAATGGAAAAGAACATGGAACATGAAATGGAAACCGGGATTATATAGGGGTTATATTGGGGATATAGTATTTTATTTGGGGATACTATGGTACCCAATATAGAGTAAGATTATATCCATATAGGGGTTACATTTTGGGCCAACTTTGAAACAAAGCCTGGAGATGATTAACCAGCGGCCTGCAACAGGTTTTGAACCCTAGACTTTAGGTGGACCCCCCCCACCCTGTAATAGTACAAGGGATAATGGGGATTATATTAGGGTCCTCTTACATTCCTATTATACCACTATTACAGGGTGGGAGGTCCTTCTGACCTAGAGTGTTATCAAGGCGACTTGAATTCGTTCTAGGCTTATTCTGCGCAACCCGGATGAGTAAAACTGCTGCCCTGCATTCCTAAAGCAAATCTGAACTCACTGCTTTCCCTGCCCGAAAGAAGGACGAGCTTCAGAAAGGCAGCCGGGTTGTGCGGGTAGTCTGCGCCACCGACTGCGAGGACCTTTCGCCAAAGGCATGGAATAATCAAGAAGAACAGGGAAGACCCTCCAAGAAGCCATGGGTTTCCTCATGCTCGCCTTATGGGGAAGTCTGTCCTTCTTTTCATTCTAGGAAGTTACCCTAGAGAGAGAGAGAGAGAGTGAGTGAGTGAGTGAGTGAGTGAGTGGGAGAGTGGATGACGAGCGCACTGTCTGGACTGAAGAGGGAAGGCTTACTTTGTGAATCGTTGCATCAGCCCTTGTTAGTGTGGTTGGTTCAGACGGGCTGTGGGAAATGTAGGCCTGAACAGTTGGCTTTAACAAAGGTTGGAGGCTACCTTCTGTGTCTTCAGGGTTTAGGGTTTAGGGTTTAGGTGTCATTCTCAATTCTCAATCCCAGTGCGGTAGTAGTCACATCCGATCACGGGCTTATTGGGGCTAAGGCCATGGTCTGCTAAGGAAGAAGAGTCTCATCCCTAAACCCGATATATGAGCTAAAGGTGGGTGATATAGGAGATTATATAAGGGACTACTGTAGGAGTTATTAAGGGGGATACTAGGAGTTTAGATTATAGCTCATATGATATATACCTATGGCCCCTTTGAAGGGACCTAAGAGTATCCCTGTTTTGCGAAGGGGCCCTCTCCATCCTCACAATTTTTACCAGCAAGCTGCAGCTCGAAGGATCCCATTTTCCCGGGCCCGCTCTGCCGAGAGTTTCTCACGGTCCCCTGCCGACTTGATGGAGGGGCTTCTATAGCGGTTTCTTTGGGAGTTGCATACAGGGAACCTGAAGAATGTAGTAGGCATGTAGCAAGAAAAGGAGTCCCAGCACCTTGTGCTCCTACTATCTTTCTGCTTACCATCTTCTTCAGGTTTTCCTGTCATTGCAGCCAGATTTTTACTGCTGCATCCTTAAGCCGTCTGGAACCTGGCCATGTCCCAACAACTACAAACCGCAGTAGGTGTTACATGCAGAACGCCCTGGACCCCTGGTATGCTCCGCTTCGAAACTCCCACCCTAAGGCCGCGCGGCATGCAACCCGCAGTGAACTGAGACTTAGATTGAAAATCCAAAGCCTCGCACCCAAAGCCTACGTTGCAAGCGGCAACCCGAGACCACCCTGAAATTCAAAGATCATACCCACCTGTACCCCCAACTACCTACAGTTTTATGGGAGTTATACCTACCAACTACTGTGCAATTTCAAGTAAACTGCTGGTAAGTGGGGTTACAGGGCAGGAGCTTCTAACATCCAGCTCCTTGCCTGTTTTCTTGGGCGTTCGGCATTTTTGCGGGCATGAAAAGATTAAAGGGACTTCGCTGGGAACCCCAAATAGGGAACCCCAAGAATATAGTAGGAATATAATAGAATATAAGAGCCCTAGTAGGTAAATTCTTATTTTATTCCTACTATACTCTTGGGGTTCCTTATCTGGGGTTCCCAGTAAAGTCCCTTTAAAGGGGAACCCATCCTGGGCTCTGAGCAGCTTTTAACTTGAAATCCTAGGCCTGGAAACCTACGCCTACGCGGTTTGGAGTGTAGGGGAACCCAAAATGCACTGTAGTCTAAACTCCTTAAACTAGGGGATACACAGGGGACTACTTAGGGGACCATTATGGGGGGTATTAAGGGGGATACTAGGAGTTTAGAGCGTAAACCCTAAACCCTAAACCCTATACTAGGGGTTACCAAGGGGGACAGGAGGAGTTTAGACTATGGCTCAAATGCTTCTCAGGCCACCTGTGACCCCACAGTGGAAGTCGTGGCTACCGGCTCCACAGGGTCCTGGGAGACCCGACCTCTCGCAGAGTTGCTTGGTTTAGGGGGGTTTAGGTTGGGTACTGCCCCCACCCAGTAACAGTCTATAGTAGGGGTCCTATTAAGGGCCATATATAACCATATTACAATTATTATCCAACTGTTACTGAGGGCAGTACTGAAGGTTTAGGGTTTTTTGGGGATTAGGGGTCTAGGTTTACGGGTTTAGGGGTTTTAGGGTTTATGCACGCAGTCATTGCAGACAATCCGGGCGAGATGCACGCTAAGATGCTTAGCGGGTTTTTGGGTTTAGGGTTTTTGGGTTTGGGGTTGAGTTTGTGGATTCTGTTTCAGGTTTTAGGTTTTGGGTTCAAGTTTCAAGGTTTAGGTTTGCAGCTTTGAGTTCTGGTTTCAGTGTAATTAAGCTACGGCTTTAAGTGTTTAGGTTGCATGCTTGCGTGGATAAGTTCCTTTTTTTTTGTGGGCAGTTGCAAGCGGCCGTGCAGGGATTTCATTGGGAAGTTGGGTTTACTTCTCCCCTTACATCGCCAAATCGTCATATAGTATGCAGGCCCTATTCAAATCAGATCAGCACCTAGGTCAGGAAGGTTTAGTCCCTCTAGTAAGGTATCCGCTCTCCGCCCCTTAATACCAAATCTCCACCTAATGGATAAAGAAAGTGACGATACTTGGGCTATTTGTTGTTAGAGGGTGGGGGGTTGTTACTTGGGGGAAGGGATTAGTTGGGCTTAGCAGTAAGGATTCTCGGCCCGGTTTTGAAAGCTTCCTTTTAAGTTTGGAAGTTGGTTGTTGTATTTCTGCAGGGGTTGAGGTAGTTAGTAGGGGTCATTGGACAGTTTGTAGAGAACAGCAGGGATCAGTCAGAGGTTTCAGAGCATTGGGCCTGCAAGCGGTGTACTTCCATCTTGGGCCATTGCGGTTTTTGGGCGGAGGCATCCATGCTAAACCTCATTGATCCCCGCCTCCCGGTAAAAACCCTAAAGCCCTAACAATAAATATGCCCAATCTAGTGCCCATATAGTATCCTTGTTTATTAGGGTCCAAGGTTCTTCATCACAAGATACGCCTCCGAGCTTGCTGTTAGACTATAAACCCTATAATCCCCTATATAATCCCAGTTTCCATTTCATTTTCCATTTTCTTTTCCATTTGATTCTCCATTATTGGGGTAATATCCCTATATGCCCCTTTAAAGGGGACCTAGTGTTTCCATTTCATTTTCCATTTTCTTTTCCATTTGATTCTCCATTATTAAGGGGGATATGTAATCCTAACCACATTTTCAGGGAACAATGGGAACCATCGCCAGCTGATAGGATCTCATGGTTCAAGCGAGTAGGGTGTTAGGGTTTTAGGGTTTAGGGTTTAGGGGATCTCATGGTTCAAGCGAGGTAGAGACAGTAGAAGCCACATCGTTTGCTGTGCCACAGCGGTCTTAAAGTCGCCCCTTGCAGACATGGCCTGCCCGACTCCTTGCCCTCCCTCTAGGGTTTAGGGTTTAGGGTATGGAACTTGCAAAAGGACCCTGCAAAGACTATTGCCCTTGTAAACGATGTCTGTATGGGTTTGGGGAGTGTATCCCTTGAACACTTCGTGGTAGTTGGAAGGGGTTGCCAAGCTTTTGAGCGGCATACTTTAGGAGGACCCCCCACCCTGTAATAGTGGTTTAATAAGAATATAAGAGGACCCGAATATAATCCCTATTATCCCTTATAGTCACTATTACAGGGTGGGGGGTCCACCTAAAGCATACTTTTAGAAGACAGGCTTCTGCCGCTGCCATCACTGTACCGACGTTTGGACAACGAGGCGGATCTCTTCGGCAGACGGCATGGACATGAGAATGCCACTGTCTATTCTGCTAGACTAATCCAGTAACATATTGGGGTTATATTGGGGTTATGTTGGGATAATGGAAAAGAAAATGGAAACTACTAGTTAGGCTGCAGGGTTTAAATAGTTGTAATAATCCCTCCCCAAATAAGAAGCCCATAAACATCTCTGCCCGCCACATGATGAAAATCCACCCCAGTAAGCAATGTTATTATTTTGGGGGATATGCATTATTAGCGGGCTTCGGGAGTTTATCATTAGGGACGGGGGATTACCGTGGAAACACGTTTTGAAAGAGCCCATTTGATCCACCAGATGTTTGACTCTATGCCAAAGCACTTGAATGACAGTTCCCTATTGGCAAGAAGCCGCTTCGGGTTCTTCCCATTGTGGTCTTGTCCGTGTTTACATGGCCGTATTCATGAACAGGGGACCCCAAGATTTACCCCCAAGTATTAGAATCCTCATTATGGGGACCCCTATTTTCTGGAAACCCTGCATACTCATAATCCAGGCAGCGTATTGACTTGTCGCTGCACTTTGGAGGTCTGCACCCAAAAGCATCAATGCATCGCAAGCCCTTAACCCGAAACCCTGTAACCAAACCTTTTTTCCTGCTGTGTATAACCTATTCTCTTCCTTGCCGAATTTTGTTTGTGCCATAGATTCCTGAATATTTACAAGCCTGGCTTGTGTACGGCCCTATTTACACTAACAATGGGGAATCACATGGAAAAGAACACGGAAAACAGAAATGGCAATACAGCGATTATGGAGACCCGACATGGCCCCAGGCAGGTGTGCTACAGGACAAAGGGGGGTTACTCGAGCAGCTAGGCGCCCAACAATCCCCGAGCTCTTCAGCCTAATTAAACCTTATAAATCCTCAACCCTAAACCCTGAAGCCTTAGAGCTAGATCAGGAACCCAATATGCAACACCTTAAAAGCTAAGTCCTAAGCCCGAAATCCCATATTCCAAGCCCTAAACCTTAATTCCTAAACCATGAACTAAGCCCCAGCCCAAATCCCTGAACTTTAAGATCTAACACTCCATAGTCCCCCCCTAAGTAGATAGAATATGGAGTATATGGGGATCTTATTACAATATACCCAATGCCATATTCTATCTACTTAAGGGGGGACTATAGACCCCTAAAGCCTAAATAGCAGTTTCCATTTTCTTTTCCATATAAACCCCTATATAACCCTTTAAAGGGACCCATAGTCTATCTACTTAAGGGGCTTTATACCCCCTACCCCCTGAACTGCCATAGGCAGCCAAAGCTCGAGCCGCTGCCTTGGGTGCGGAGGTTTCGGAGCCCTCAGACGCCCGGTTCCTGAAGCCCTACCAGGCCTGGGGTTTAGGGTTTAGGGTTGAAGGTTTATAGGGTTTTTTTATAGGGTTTTATTGTGGTTTTACAGGGTGTTTATAGGTTTTATCGGGTTTAGGGACGTAGGATTTAGTTTTTTTCTCCATCCCCTTGGGAAATTCTGTCCGTTTTTTTCCTTTTTGGTAGAACCCCAAGGAAATATGTAACATGATGTTTTTCATTATAGATCTCAGGGAATTACAGTTTAATATTGGGGGTTTGAGGGTTTGGGAGTTGGGGGTTTGATATGAGCTATAGTCTAAACTCCTCAAAGGGGGTTATATAGGGGATTATACAGGGGGCTACTCTAGGGGTTATTAAGGGGGATACTAGGAGTTTAGACTATAACTCCTAAAATCCCCTACATAACCCTATATATAGCAGTTTCCATTTCATTTTCCATGTTCTTTTCCATTTGATTCTCCATTAGACAGTAGCCAAAATTAGGGTACCCCAATTTAGACCCCAATATACCATAATATGGGGACCCCCAATAAGGTACTCCTAATTTGGCTCAAGAAAGGGTTTAGGGTTTTAGAGCTTTGGGATGCAGGGGGAGTTTATAACCAAGCTCAAACCTTGGGTACTGCCCCCCCCTTAGTAACAGTTGGAGAATAATTCTAATATGGTTATATATATATATAGCCCTTAATAGGACCCCTAATCTAGACTGTTACTGGGTGGGGGCAAGTACCCAACTCAAACCCTAAGTTATGTTCACAGCCTGCACAAGTGAAGGCTGCAGCGGGTCTAGCCGCCACTCAGGGCAAGCAGACCACCATCTACCCGCTGCTCAGCTCGAGCCATCTTTCAGGGTTTAGGGTTTAGGGTTTAGGATTTAGGGTTCAGGGTTTAGGGTTTAGGGTTCAGGATTTAGGGTTTAGGGTTCAGGGTTGCGGTTGAGAAGAACCCCAGCGTCAAGCAACCCCAAGGGGCCCCAATAGCCCCCCATGGGTCGCATTTTTTCGGTGGGGGCACCATATTAACTCTAAGATATAGATTGGAAGATGTACGGCTGCAACAGTGGAGTTAGGGTCTAGGGTTGACAGAGCTTGAAGGTTTTTTTGGCAAGGGAAGGTCAAAAAGTTGACCCCCTATCATGGACACCCGAATGCTATGGGGCTCTCGGAAAGATGGGCCCAATCAGGACCATGAACTTAACAACCTAAGTTCTCAGGCGGCGATGCTAACAAGCTTGACATGGCCTTTTGCGGCAGATGCAAGGTTTCCAAAAATGAGGGCTTCCCTTTTTATCTGGAAATTGGGTTGATTAGCTGGTGGCGTTGGAGATGGCGGGGTTGGTGGTGGCGGTGGTTTTGGCCAGTTGTAGTTGTTGCAGAAATCATCCGAGCTATTCCTGGCAGTCGGTTTCCTGCATTCGCAGTAGAATCTTAGGGTTTTGTTTTGTCGACTCCTGTTTTTGCCAAGCTGGCAATTTAACTGCAAGAACAGCTAGCGTGAGGGTTGCATGTATTGTGCAAAGGGCCTTCTCAAAGGCTGAAAATGATCTGATCCCTTCAACGATTTCATGAATACTGCACACTCCCCGCAGAGCTTCCAAGAAGTCCCTCGTGCGTATATCAGTATACCATCTCCGATTAGTCACCGGCATGGTTCAGGCTGGTTTTTGCGGCGGCCGTTGGTTTCGAAGATGGTGCAATCTGCAGCGCTGCGGTGCCAGGGCGATGAATTTGGGTTCAAGTTGTCGGGCCCCCGCTCACCAGCACGTCAACGCAATAAGGAGAACAAAGCGGGAGCTCCTAAGCATTAGTGCTCCTGTGCTTGACGTGCGTGTGGGGAGTCCTGACCGTCTGGAAAGGATTGCCAAAGTGACCTTCCGCCGCAATGTGTCACGGCTTGGTTTTCACAACAAAGGCAGTCAAGAAGGGACCAGGGTTGAGTTCCCTGCACACATTAAAGACACACAAAAAACATATCGTCCTAACCTACGCATCATGTAAATCCTGCAGGACTGGCCCAAAAGGCTGCCTATTGCACAATAGTCGCCCTCCAAATTCAATGCGAAACCTGGATAATTCTGCGGAACCATATGCGCCGAGCGACTACCCTGCAAACATCTGCCTCAAGTCCAGCGTGAGGGATCAGAGGAAACTCCAGATCCCAAAGACCACTCTCATCCCAGGTTGATTCACTTGAGTAGTATTTTATTTGGGGATACTATGGTACCCAATATAGAGTAAGATTATATCCTCCTTTTGGGGTGTAGTATTTTATATAAGGAATACAATCGTATTAGGTTTAACCACCAAAAAAACACTACTCACTTGGATTTGTTCATCAGATATCTCCAGCAGTATGTTTGGCTGAACCTCGCTACGCCAGTCTCTCTCCCTCTCCCTTCTCCTTCTTCCTGTCCCTCTCTCGCACTCCCCATCTCCCGCTGTATTTCTGTGTTTCTTTGTCAAACATACTGTTATCCTCATTACCATTTTTATTTGGTTTATTACTATTACGACTATTTTTACAATTGCTATTACCATTATGATTAGGAATATTAATATTTTGGCCTTAAAACACTTCAATACATTCTGAGTCAAGCCGCCAACTAAAGCACAAAACGGCTTGAACCGGTCGAGGGACCTTGCGGCAGTGGCCAGGTCAGTGCGATACAGACATACTAACAAGAAACTTGAAAGTGTAGTGGGGAAGCCTCAATAATCACCAATATTTGAGTCGTTGAGTTCTAGATTGCTTGTCTTAATTGTTATAGTCTAGGATGCCTCAAATAGACTTCAACACGCAGTTGGGTAATTCTTCAGGCTTCCGCAGTACCACAAGAGGGAGGGCACTCCTTGGCGAAAAGCACAACCTTTTTTGCCCGCTTTCGTTAGACCACCCCAATCTCCATCAGAAAGCTGAAGCCCCCAAATCCTAACCATCTTCAGGCCATCAAAGGCTGGGGCCCGAAACCTTAGTTCCAAAGCCCCGAAACACCCAAACATAAAAGCCTGCCGTGCCACGCCGAACTAGGATGTAGGGTAGTTTAGGGTATACGGTTGAAGGCAGCAGGGCCGGCAAGGGGTAATGGCAATTTTTTGGCATTGTCTTTTTCCGTCTAAGGATTACATTCCTGCTGCACCTAGGAGCTCAAGGGCATTGAGTACGGCTGCACGGTAGATGCTGTTAGCTTGCTTCTGCCGGAGCTCGTGCGAGCGCGCCACCCGTCATTGTCTTGGGCTGTGGCGCAGCTGATGTTGGTGTCAAAGATT